AGGCATGTGTGACCATGCCTAATGTTACAACATAAGGTGTTTGGTATTTTTGTTAGAATTACAGGAAACCTGTAAACTACATGTTCACTAGGGCTAAAGAAATGAGTGGAAATGACAGCCCTGCACGGGTGGATGTCCCATCTCTGTTAGTTCCTTCAGGTCTGTTCTGAACATGTGAAAACCTCCTAAACCTGATCTACCTGCTCTGCTGTTTCTCTAGAGCCGTCAGTGTTTTAGCTTGGTTATGCATAGGAAACATACTTATGCTGTCCAGTTGCAGTTCAAGTATACTGTCTGTCTAATTCCTATTTTTTGTTTCATAGGATTTGTCTTTGTAGATTTTTCTCTTTCATGCCTTCAGCCATTCTCATCCCCTGTACCTTCTCTCTCAAGCCTTTCTGTTTTTCTTGGACCTGCCTACCAGCTGCCTTTCCTGCAGTTGTCTAACTGCTGTTTTTACCTGTCCAGTGAGGTTTTTTGTTTTTAATTTCAGTTACTATAGTTGTCTTTTCTGGACATCCCATATACAGCAAGAATAAGAGCATTATCTGTGGAGCCAGACTGCTTGGGTTAAATCCCAGGTCAGTTACTCCCTACCTGTGTGACCTTGGAAAGTTATTCAGGCCATGGCTCAGTTTCCTCATTTGTAAAATAGGAATGCTAACAATATCTATATCATAAGGTTGCTGTGTAGATTAAAGAAGTTAATATAGGTAACAGTGCCCTGCAACAGTCTAATATGCTATTTGGCAATAAGCACTTCAAAAGATGGTCAGTGTCATTAATGCAAATCAAAATCATCTCATACCTGCTAAGATGGCTATAATCTAAAAGTAGGAAAATATGTGTTGGCAAGGATGTGCAGAAAATGAAACCTTTGTGTGTGGCTGCTATTAAACGGTTTGGAAGTTCCACTCCTAAGTATATAGGCAAGAGAATTAAAAACACATGCTCATACAAAAAGTTGTACAAGCACAGCAGCATTATTAATAGCCCAGAGGTGGAAACAACCCACATATCCATCAACAAGTGAATGCATGACATGTGGTATAGCCATACAACAGAGGACGGTCCTTGGCAACATTACGGTAAGTGAGAGAAGCCCTACACCAAAGGCTGCATAGTACGTGATTGCCGTTATATGAAATGCCCCCAACAGGCAAATCCATAGAGACAAAGTAGGTTAGAGGTGGCCATGGGCTGAGGGGGCAGTGACTGCTAATGGGTATAGTGATATACAACTTGGAAACATACCAAGAACCACAGATGGGTGAAGTTTATAGTGTGAAATATATCTCAAAAAGAGCAAAAAGGCAGTCACAGGTAATAGTATCTGCAGAAGGCATGTTTCCCTCTCTAAGACCGAGGAAACATAAGTTGAGTTTCTCAGAACCTCCATCTCTCAGAGTCAGAACTCAGAACCCCAAAGTGGGGGAGTTACGCAGCGGCTGCCAGTGTCTGTAAGGAGGCAAAAGTAAAACAGATGCGAAGCAACCAAAACAATCCAGAGACTGGGGCTTTGGCATGTCGCCCAGGCTGGTCTTAAACTCCAGGGTTCAAGTGATCCACTCAACTTGGCCTCCCAAGTGCTCAGATTATAAGCATGAGCCACTGAGCCTGGCTGACTTTCTTAAAAAATACATATACCTTGGTATGTATTCCTATTACAGTCAGGAATGTAAAGGGTGCTCTCAGCTATCGTTTTAGAAATATTAGCCACCCCTCACATCTGCCCCCCGCCCCACAAAATAAAACTTGAAAGGGACAAACCCTTTCTATATAATCGTATGTGTAGAAAGCCCAAAAGAAGAAAAATCTACAAACAATATGAATTTGGCAAAGTAGCAAGTTAAAACATTCAGTAAACCAAAGCACTTAAAAGGTATAACTGAATGCCTAGGTTACAGTAACAAAAACTAGAACAAATGAGACTCTGGAACAAACGAAACCCTAAATGTGGCTGGGTGCAGTATAATCCATGTCTGTAAATGTTGTTTGAGGTGTTCTAGACCAGCCTGGGCAACAGTGAGAACCACTTCTCTATAAAAATGTTTAAAAAATTAGCCGGGTGTAGTGACATGTGCCTGTAATCCCAGCTACTCTGGAGGATAATCTCGGAGGATCACGAGCCTGGGAGGTAGAGGCTGCAGTGAGCTGCAATCATGTCACTGCACTCTAGCCTGGGTAACAAAGTGAGACCCTGCCTGTCTCAGGAAAAAAGGAAACACACCAAAATCCTAAACTTAAGAAATACATAAAACTTTCAAACCTACATAAAACGAAAACATGCCTGTGAAAGTATAATGGCAGGCGCAGCACGCTGAGGGCTAGGAAGACTCAGTGGCAGCGGGATGTCAATGTCAGCTTTTTCCATTTTACAGGCTTGACATGATCCTGATAAAACTTTTTGCCGAGAGATACACAAGGCGATTATTCAGCAACAATAACCTTGGGGGAAAAAATGAGGAAGGTTGCTAGCCTATGAGAGTTATATGTCGAGAAGCCTCGATAAGTCAATGTGTAGTGTTGGCCCAGGAATTAAACAATGGAAAAGTTTAAAATCTGGAAATCGATCCATATGCATTTGGAAATTTAGAGATTGATAAAGATAGCATTCATTTTAAATCACTGGCAAAAATATTTCCAACAAGTGGTATTTTGACATCTGAACCACCGTGTGGAAAGGGATAAAATTGGATTCATCCTGTATGCCATACATTTAAATTAATTCCCAATGAATCAGAAACCCACACATAAAAAGGGAAATTTGCAGAGTGCAGCGGCTTCACCTGGAGTCCCAGCTATTTTGGAAGCCGATGTAGGAGGGTCACTTGAGCCCAGGAGCTTGAGACCAGCAGGACCCCATGTCTTCAAAGACAATGTAGGCAAATTCCTTGATAGGAATTGAGAAAACTTCACTATCCGGGAATCAAGGGAGAAATTGATGAAGTGTTGATATTCCACATCTATGAAATCTTAAGGACAACCTAATAGAAAAATGGGCAAAATATATGAATAGCTCACAGGAAAAAGAAAAGCAAATGGCTCAAACATGTGAACAAAAGATTCTCCATCTGATGTATTGTACTGTTGCTTACCTAGAGACTGGCAGAAATCCAAGAGTTTGACAACGTACACTGTTGGTTAAGCTGTAGGGGAAAAAGGCATTCTCATAAACATTGCTAGTAGGAATGAAAAATGTAGAATTCCTGTGGAAGTAAGTTGGCACTATCTAGCGAGATTATGCTGCTTTAGGAATTGTACTTCTGAAATCTCCCCAAAACAAAAGTGACACATGCACAAGACTTCGTTGTAGCACTATTTGTGTTTTGTGTGTGGTTTTTTCCTTGGGTTTGTGTTGGTACAGCACTGTTTGTAAAAGGCAAAGATTGGAAACCACACAGATGTCTATCAGTACATCTATTCAGTGGAGTACTGTGGGGAGAATAAATAGACCAAGGTGCAAACTAGTGTGGCTAGTATGCTGTTATGTAGAATATGGACTGTGTGTACATATACGTATGTTTCAAAAATGGATTACACATGGTTACTTATATAGGAAGGGTGGGGAACAAGGATTGGACAGGGTTAGATTAGACCCTTCTGAAGGTACCTTGTTTTAGTTTAGATGGAGTCTCGCTTTGTCACCAAGGCTGGAGTGCAGTGGTATGATCTCAGCTCACTGGGACCTCCACCTCCTGGGCTCAAGTGATTCTCCTGCTTCAGCCTCTTGAGTAGCTGGAATTACAGGTGTCTGCCACCATGCCCGGCTAATTTTTATATTTTTAGTAGAGATGGGTTTTGCCATTTTGGCCAGGCTGATCTTAAAACTTCTGACCTCAAGTGATCTGCCCTCCTTAGCCTCCCAAAGTGCTGGGATTACAGGTGGGAGCCACCATGCCCAGCTTATAGTTTTACTGTGGTTTTTGAACACAGTATTTTGAGACCACTCTAGTGAATTTACCTTGATGACAGAAAGAACCGTAATGTAAACTTAAATATCTTTCAGTTTTATGTTAGTAAATATATTAGCATTATTTTGAAACAATATATACTGTACATTAAACGTGTAAATGAAATCAGCAACCAAAGTTTTCAGCTTGAAAAACAGCTACAAGTATAAAAATGAAAGTAGTGAAGCAAAAGTCCAGTCTTTACATGTGTAAAGGCAAATAATTTTGTAAGAATATGGTGTTAAGAAAACCTGAGCAGCTGGGCACAGTGGCTCACACCTGTAATTCCAGCACTTTGGGAGGCCGAGGCGGGTGGATCACCTGAGGTCAGGAGTTTGAGACCAGATGGCTAACATGGTGAAACACTGTCTCTACTCAAAATACAAAAAATTAGCTGGGTAGGATGGCAGGCACCTTTAGTCCCAGCTAACTCAGGAGGCTGAGGCAGGAGAATCACTTGAACTTGGGAGGCGGAGATTGCAGTGAGTTGAGCTCTCACCACTGCATTCCAGCCTGGTTGACAGCGTAAGACTTGGTTCCCCCTCCCCCTCCCCCGCCAAAAAAAAAATTGCCAGTGGATTTTAAAAAAAAACCTAAGTCCCTTCACTGTCAAATCCTTAGTGGGGTAAATTCTGTCATCTCTGGGTGAGTATCTGTTTTCCTGACTTTTCAAGGTGTTCAAAAGTTTTGCTGAGTCATAGGCTCTTTTCAGCAGCTCTGATGGGCAGTTTATCCTCACTCCCACTCCACCAACTCTGTTCCTTTCTTCTCTTCCACTGTGTCTGAATTTGACAGGGTCCCTGTCCCAGTTGTACTGTTCAAAGAGTTTATGTTACTCTTCTGGGTAATTTTTGCTTCATACATCTCCATCCAATCTTAATGCTTTTCAGATCTTTTGGCAGAGATTTTTGGGAGTGGTGGTACAGGAGAGGAATACCATTTAAGTCACAATAAAGGCCTCTGCAAAGAGTTTTTGTACTCATTCATTTTAGTAATCCTAATTTCTCTTTCCTACATCATGTAATTTGTGTAATATTTTTTTTTCAGATGGCTATTCTTATGAAAAGGAAGCAATGGAAAATTGGATCAGAACAAAGAAACGTACAAGTCCCATGACAAATCTTGTTCTTCCTTCAGTGGTACTTACGCCAAATAGGACTCTGAAAATGGCCATCAATAGATGGCTGGAAACACATCAAAAGTAAAATTGTTGATATTATATTGTTTATATTTTCAGTAATCTCATTTGAATGATTTAAAGGTAATTACTAATCAGACATTATTAAAAAAACAGGAAAAAGGTAAACTTTTTCAATTTAGTTACCTATAAAAATTGTCAATTTCCATTCTTTAAAAATACATGGACTTTTACTATAAAGCCTTTTTGTACTAGTGAAAAAAATCTTCAGCTGTATAGAAATAAAGTTATACTTTAAACTGCAGTGCCCCAATTTTCTTTTATTCCTCTTAATATTATTCCCAACAGTGCCCACATTTATTCTTGTTAGATGTAGGTCATCTCTCTTTGTAACTCAAGAGTGGGCTACTCTAGAATAACAGATGTTTACATTCTACTTACTAGCCATTCATTCAGTAACTCTTTGGAGCCCTTTTAAAGAGAATTTGCAGCAAAATGGTTGTAGATTGTTTATGATTAAATTGAGAAAAAGCACCTCAGATGTTTAAGTAATTTTGTTGGATTTTAAGTTTGCAGGAGGGTAATGAATTTTTTCTTATTTTCCAAACCTACATATAAGTTAGATGAAATAAATCCTGAATAAGTTGACTTTGCTGAAATATATAAAATGGCAAACTCTAGCCTCGCTTCAGAATTAAGAATTCTTAAAAGTTCTCACATATAATTCTAAGCTGGGGTAACAAAAGCATTTTTACACAATAGCCTGATACATTCACTCCAGAAAAAAAACTCCAGGTTGAGGAAGTGAAGGCGGTGCTAACTTCTTACTTGCCTGTCCAGTGTTGTTACTAGAATGGAAGCCATCCGCGGGGCGCTTGTTAAAACTGCACTGCAAGCACAGGCCGGACCTCTGCGCCTGCACCCTTCTTTGCACTGTTACCCCCAAAACTCGCAATGGGGACTTGTTCAAGAATTTCGAAACTTGGAAATAAAAAGGGAAAAGCAATGTAAATATAGGAAAAGGTTGATCACGCATTTTATAAACTCACAACTAATATGCTACATGTTCACAGAAAGGAAGCAAGCCTTAACACTGAAATCACCAGACACCATTTCTTTATAATTCTTTGTAAACATTTTAACTTAATGTATTACTAAACTTTGTTAACCTTTACGTCATAACTAGGATTCATGATCAATGGTTCTAGAAAAGTAATTTTTTTTCATATGACATGCTTCTCACATTCTTACTGTTGAGGACTAGAAAGGTTGGAAGTATGTTCTAGGTGTTTTTCTCCTGTATTCTTTTCATTTTTTAGAATCTTGCTCTGTCTCCCAGGCTGGAGTGCAATGGCATGATCTGGGCTCACTGCAACCTCTGGCTCTTAGGTCCAAGCAATTCTCCTGCCTCAGCCTCCCGAGTAGCTGGGATTACAGGTGCATGCCACCACACCTGGCTGATGTTTGTATTTTTAATAGAAACAGGTTTTTACCATGTTGGGTAGGATGCTCTTGAACTCATGACCTCATGATCCACCTGCTTTGCCCTCCCAAAGTGCTGGGATTACAGGCATGAGCCACCATGCCTGGCTGTTTTTCTGCTTTACTCTTTATAGAAAGTATGCTAATAATTTCAACAGAACACTTTTTTTTTTTTTTTTTTTTTTTTTTTTTTTGGAGTTTTTTTTTTTTTTTTTTTTGTTTTTTTTTTTTTTTTTTTTTTTTTTTTTGGAGATGGAGTTTTGCTCTCTCAGGCTGGGGTGCAGTGGTGCAATCTTGGCTCACTGCAACTTCTGCCTCCTGGGTTTAAGCGATTCTCCTGCCACCACGCCCACCTAATTTTTCTATTTTTAGTAGAGATCGGGTTTCCCCATGCTGGCCAGGCTGGTCTTGAACTCCTGACCTCAAAGTGATCCACCTGCCTTGGCCTCCCAATGTGCTGGGATTACAGGTGTGAGATACTGTGCCCGGCCCAGAACAGTTTTTAAACGTAAAAGAACTTACCATTGGTCCAACTGTCTCTGTTTTGATAAAGTAACAGACATTTTCCAAAGGAGGTTAGCTGTTTTTTAAATAAAAATTACTAAAATCATTCAAAGTCATTACTAGAAAACACAAAAAGCCATGTTTTTTTAAGAACTGTTGAGGAAGATCCAAGATGGCCTTTTAGGAACAACTCAGGATTGCAGCTCCCAGTGAAAGCGCAGAGGGTGAGTGGACACCACATTTCCAGATGGACTTTTTTTTTTTTGATACGGAGTTTTGCTCTTGTTACCCAGGCTGGAGTGCCATGGCACAATCTCGGCTCACTGCAACCTCCGCCAGACGGACTTTTTATTGCCCACAGACCAGGAGATTCCCAGGCAGAGAAGGCCCACGGGTTGCCAGCTTGGCTGCTTTGCCGGCGCCCCGCGCGGCAGTTCTCCATACAAAATACACTGGTCTGGGTGCCCTTTTAGCTGGTGATTGAAGCCCCAGGAAGTCACACATTCATCTGATTAAAAAGGGGGACTGAACAGAAAGCCAGGCCAGGAGATTCCTAGGCAAAAAAAGCGCCACAAATCTCAGCGCCGCTGTTTAATCTGGCACAGTGAGTCGCTGCACAGGAAATCACACAGATCCCGGCGCCTTTTCTACAGGCGACTGGAACACCTGGGAGAGGGTCGACTATTCAACTAAAAAAAAAGAAAAAAAAAAAAAAAAAGCTCTGAGGCAGGGAGCCAGGTGATCAGGCTCGGCTGCTCCCACCCCCACAAAAGAACAGCAATCAGAAACTCTCTGGATTGAGAGTTTCACAGCAAGCCCAGCCAAACCCGGGACAGTCCAGCTCTGTGGGGGAGGGGCATCTGCCATTACCGAGGCTCTCCACCACTATGGAGATAGTCCGCCATTGCTGAGGCAGCCTGCCATTACAGATAAGAGTCCACCAATACAGAGGTGGGCCACTATTGCAGAGGCAGTTCTAACTACACCCATATAAACAGAACTGCAGGGAAGTTCACACGGCAGTTGGGTAGGGCCCACAGCAGCTCAGCAAAGCCTCTACAGGCAGACAGTGACTAGGCTGCCTCCTTGCTGGGCAGGGTAGCCCTGAAAAAAAAAGGCAGCAGCACAATGGAAACTCATATTTAAAGCCCTAACTCCCTGGGACAGAGCACTTGGGAACAAAAAGCGATTTATGGATTCTGCTGCAGCAGACCTAAACGTACCTGCCCAGCAGCTCTGAATGAACAACAGAGCTCACAGCTCAGTGCTTGAGCTCCTATAAAGGACAGACTATCTCCTCAAGCAGCTCCCTGACCCCCATATATCCAGAGTCACCTCATAAAGGAGAGATCAGATTGACATTTGGTGGGTATCCTTCTGGGACAAAGCAGAAGAAGAAACTGGTAACAACCCTTACTGTTCTGCAGCTGCTGCACGTGATCCCCAGGCAAGCAGGTCCTGGAGTGGACCTCAGCAGTCCTACAGCAGAGGGGCCAGACTGTTAGAAGGAAACCTAAGAAACAGAAATAACTTCATCATCAATAAACTGGACGTCCACTCAGAGATGCAGTCTGAAAGTCAGCAACTACAAAGACGACAGGTGGATAAATCCACAAAGATGGGAAGAAACCAGCACAAAAAGGATGAAAACACCCAAAACCAGAAC